AATTATACAGTTATTATTATAATTTAACAAAAATGGTTTCCTGAGAATCCACTGAAACGCTGGCATAGTCGTGGGGCTTGGAAGATACATCTTGTGAAGTATTGTGTCAAGCTGAAGACACGACTTTGGTTTTGCTGCCATAGGTTGTTCAGTACCAGTCCCAGCCAGTACAAATTCACTCTTACACAACGATGTGAATCCTTAGTACACGGGCAACTACCATTACGTGATATTTGAAGAGAAAAGGCTTGAAAGTTGGACATTATCATAGTTGTTTCGTGAGGAAGGTGAAACTTAAGATGTTTAAGAGAGTGATAGATACATGACCGTGGCTTCAAACAGGGTTTCAATCATGTATTTTCAAATTACCTGGCAGGAAAATTTTTGTGTGCTTATTTACGCTTCATTCATAAAATAATTATTTTTGATGCTCAATATTTTTTACTTAAATCCTGCTAATAGTAGCTTCCATTTATCAAATGCTTACTAAGAATGAGGAATTGGGCAGTTAATTTAATCTTCACAACAGAACAGGAATTATTCTCCCATTCTAGTGAAGAAATTGAGGCTCAGAGACGTTGAGGAATTTGTCCAAGGTCACACAGCTAGCTGGTCACCAGGCAGAACCAGGATCAGAGCTCAGGTCTACCTGTCTCCAAAGCCCTTGCTATGTCCGCCGTGTCACTCGGCCTCCTCTTTGGTGCTGAGATGGACTCTGTGCTGCCCAGGATCCCCCAAACCTGTCTGGACATCCCAGATGAACACATGAGCCTCCTGTAGCCTGGCTCCATTTGTAACAGTTGCAGTGACACTCCTTTTACCGTCACCTCTTGTCTTCTCAGCAGGTACCCGACAAGCCAATGAAGAGCATCAAGTATATGGACAAGGAAATAGTAAACCTCAAAAAAGACCTTGTACGAAGCCGGTGAGTGAGCCCAGCAGGGAATGACCCATATTCAACCCAATGGGATGAGCAGACTATGGGACGGTGACTACAAGTCTTTGCAAGTCCCACTGTCCCCCAACCCTAAACATCAAGCAGAAGAGTAACAGGAGGGTAACCTTGTAAGGGGCAGAGGCCAGGATCCTTTCTTGGCTGGACTTTCCAGCGAGTACCTGTGCTGACCCTTCCTCCACACTCTTGCCCATGCCAGCCTCCAGCCTAGAATTCCCTCTGCTTTCCTGCCTGGACCTGAATCCAACTCAAAAGAGTCCCCACCTGCTCCAGAAAATCTTCCCTTTTTACTCCAGGCCCACACAACAATATTGGAGAGTCAGATAGACTCGTTCTCACGTACTGGCCCTGTGACCCTCCAGGTGACACTAAAGGAGTTATTTAAACTCCCCAGGTCTCTGTTTCCCTGTCTGTAAAATAAGAATAATATGAGGTTGTTAGAAGAACCGAGAGAAATAATGCCTATAAAGTTCCCCTCATGTGGCCTTGAACCCTGTTCAAGTGCTGTTCCTATCTCCCCGCTCCCCCATTCCTTCGCTCTCCGCTGGTGGGAGCAAATCAGGGACCATATGTTATTTGTGTCTGTGTGGTCAGATGGGATTTTTTCCCCTCACTCCTTAACTCCTTCCTGGGACCTGGAACATTCCAAAATGGGGCTTTTGGCAAAACAACTGAAAGCAGAGTATGAGATAGAGACTGTTTTAGCACAAAACACACAAGAGATGTGCTGAGGGGAGTCATCTAGACAGCAGGGAAGATCTGTTCATCTTGGACATATCCCACTCTGGGCCAGACCACAGGGAGAAGCAGAGAGAGTCTCTCCCTCCCTCCAGTTCCATCATCGGGAAGCTCCCCTTCCTCACTGCCACCGGGATCTCCACCCTGCCCTGTCCCACAGCACCACCTGACGGAACTGATGACTGAGCCAAAGAGGAGGCGTGGAAGGTGGGGAGGAGGCAAGGGGTTAAATGACCCAAGCATGGGGTCAAGAGAGGGCCCCAGAGGGGAATATTCCCACTCACTGCAGGGGGTGGCTGTGTCAGCTATCAGAGGGTCTCTGGACAGACACCGTCTAATGGAAACATAATACAAGCTTTGAATGTAATTTCAGGTTTAGTTTTTAGTGTAGCTGCGCTTAAAACAGTAAAAAGAAACAGGTGAATGTAATTTTACTACTATATTTTATTTAACTCAATATATGCAAAACATATCACTCAACATATAATCAATATAAAAAAGTATTAATGAGATGCTTTACATTCTGTTTCTCATACATGAAGAAAAGTCATGAAATGATAAAAAAAAATGAATGATGAAATATCTGGGGTGTATTTCATACTTAGAGCACATATCAACATGGACCAACCACATTTCAAGTGCCCAGTAGTTGTTATGGACTAAATTGTGCCCACCCCCTACCCACCTACAAAAATCCATATGTTGAATCCCTAACCCCCAATGTTTGGAGGTAGGGCCATTAAAGAAGTAATTAAAGTTACATGAGGTCATAAGGTTGGGCTCGAATTCAATCTGACTGGAGTCCCTATGAAAGGAGGAAGAGACGCCAGGTTTGTGTGCACACAGCGAACAGTCCACGTGAGAACACAGCAAGGCGGCTGTGTGCAAGCCAAGGAGAGAGGCCTCCGGAGAAACCAACCCTGCTGGCACCTTGATCTTGGGCTTCCAGCCTCAAAAACTGTAAGAAAATTGATTTCTGGTGTTTATACTGGCTTCCCACCAAGCCAGTAGGAAAGAGGGCTTGAGGAAAAGGTGATAAAGGCAACAGCTTTTCTGCCACCTTTCAGTTGGCCAGCTGAGATGTCACTCCTGAAACAAGATAAAATTCAGCATCCTCCCTGGACAGGCTTGGCCTGTCCAACTGCTGAGCATGAAGGAGAACGTGGAAAAGGCCAGACAGAAAAGCCACATGCAAGAAAACAAGAGATGACAATAAAATGTTCCATCTGGCCACATTCCTGGATCCCACTGACATTTAAGGAATCAGCGATTCCCCTTCAGAAGGAAATATCCTGTCTTCCAAAGGAAGTCACCTTTCCGAGAAGTGCAAACTCCATGTCCCCATCTCCCAGTATCAAATGAGGCAAATTATTGGCAAAGATGTCTTTTCCACTCATGGTTTTTTAAAACACGTTTCGCCTCCTATTAGAGTCTAGCCCACCTTGAGCCAAACACCTTGACTGTCTTCTGGATTTATATTTAATACTCCAGCTCTCTTATAATTCAGTTGCACCATCCCTGGCTTCATGGCCAATTTAACGTGATGCTGAAAAGAATAAAACTGTAACTGCGTTCTTCCTCGCCTGTTCCACCAGATGTTCAGGGTCACCAAGCAGCACACTGTACATGAACTTGCCGAATTTCTCCTAGCGGAAGTTGACAATCAGGACCTCTCTCCATGTGCCCAGTTCTTGGTTGACTCTTGAAGCCAATGTCCTATTTTCCTCCATAGGTGTCAGCACTTTTTATTGCAAGTGTTTTAAGGAAAATAAACATCTCTACAACTAAAACAACTGAAATGTTGAGCACGTTAGGGAAAAGCAATCACAAATAAACAGTGGTTAATTACCCACCCCCGAGAGCAGACCCCAGATTCTGAAAGTGTTTACAAGGTCTGAGACTGCTCTTCCCAACTGCATTTGATTGACGGCTGAAGCAAGGATTAGAAATAACAAAGGTGGAATTTTTGGCAAAGGAAGACACTATTATTTTTTTATTGGGTTATTCACTTCTTCTTGGTACTTCCTTAGCCCTCTGTGTTCATTCATTTTTTTCCCAGCAACTATTTATTGAGTATAAGGTATCACCAGGTGTACACCAGGCATATTGTTGTATATACTTGAGATGAACCAAACGGACGAGACTCCTGTCTTCAGTGCATAAGAGATGATGATGTGCGTTATAATGGGGTAATGACAACAAACACGTTAGCAAGTGGATAGAACGTGGGGGCGGGGATATAAAACAAGGTGATGTATAAATAGGCAGTGGTGATGGGGAGGAAGTTGCTACCTTAGCTGGAGCGGTGAGGGAAGAGTGGTTTATGAAAGCGACCCTGGGCTCCATACCTGAATGGTGAGAGAGACGCATTTACATAAAGATGTAGAGGGGAGAGAGGTGGAGCATTTTAGAGAACAACAGGTGAATGGATGCCAAAGTCAGAGCGAGCTGGAAGTGCTGGGGAACGGAGGTGGTCCGTGCGGCTGGAGCAGAGTGAGAGAGGATGAGAGAGGCAAGAGATTCAATTGAAGAGCCAGGCAAGGGCTGGTTCATACACTGCCTTATAGGCTGTGATGAAAAGTTTGAGTTTTCATCTCAGTGTAACAAGAACCCATTGGAGCATTCTGCACAAGAGAAGGATATGACCTGATTTTTAAAAGACTATTCCATCTGCTGCGTAGAGACCGGTTGGAAGGCTGTGGCGAGAGTGACAATGGCTTGGGTCAGGAAAATAGCAGAGAACTGGGGAGAAATGGATGGATTCAAGATTTCGTTGGAGGTCCATGGGACGGGATATGGATTAGATGTGGGGACCAAGGGAAAAGGCCACGTTGTACATCCACGTGCTACAAGGACCTGTTTCCATCTCTGCCTCCCTCACTAGGATGCGAGAGCCCTCGCAGCGCGAACTGTGCCGTGTCCACTGTTGTGGTCCTGAGAAAGTGTTTACTGATGGGATGAACTAATTTTCTTGTCCACTCCTAGAACTTATCAGTTTAAAATGAGGGGGAAGCCTTGTTATTAGCATAGTAGGGGAAATGAGTAAGGGAGACAGTTTACAAATAAATCTGTGGATAAATCAGAAGATAAGATAGCTGGTCCATGGCTTTAGGCCTTTCAGGTGAGCTTACTGACCTCTCCCTCTTCCACTGCCATTCAAACAGGGGTGTCCACCCTGACTTATTGGTGACTGGCTTGTGGCTGGAAAGAGGAGCTATTAATGATGTCCTACAACAGAGTCAACCTGTGCTGTGAATTCCCAGGGTCTTGCTCAGTGCTTGGTGTAGAATAGGCACTCAATAAATATTCTGAAATTTATATTTGCATGACATCTTAAAGTCTTCCCTGAGGCAGGCAAGGAAGGCCTTGCTGATTCATTTCTCCAATGAGAAAACTGATACTCAAAGAAGTTTAGAGATTTACTTAAAGTCATTATATCAATCAGATATTGCTGCATAACAAAACACTCCCCAAAAACTCAGTAACTTAAGACAATGAGAATTTCTTAGTGATTATAAAGCTGTGATTATGAGGCTGTGATTCCACTGGGAGATTCTCTGGTCTCAGCTGGGTTCCCTTGTCCATCTCAATCAGCTGAGGGTTGGGTAGGTGGCTTTGCTGTTCTTGGCTGGGCTCTCTCCTATGTTTGGAGGTCCGCTGGCTATAGGCAGGTCTACAATGGCCTTGGCCAGAACAACATGGTCTCCCATTCGGAAGCAGGTTAGCTAGGGCTTATTCTTATGATGGTGGGGTCCTGGGAAAGAATAGAAAGTATGTGAGACCTCTTGAGTTTTAAGCTAGAAACTGGCAAAACATCACTTCTACCATATTCTTGTGGCCAAAGCCAGTCACAAATCCAGCCCAGATTAAAGGTGGGAGAATAGATTCCACATCTTGATGGGAAGAGCTACAAAGTCACATTGCAACGGAGTGGAGATTTGGGGGCAATTTTTTCTGTCTACCACAGTTCATATGGCTAATCCTGAGCTGGCCTTTGAGACATGAGCTAGTATCAAAAGATAATGTGTATAAGTCAGAGTCTCACTCTTGGGAATGAAAAATGGAAAACATGTCAAGAATCAAGCAGGCAATGCTGGGAGTAGAGGCTGCAAAACTCTGAGAGAGGGAAGTCAGAGGGGTTGTGGGGAGCTACATGGAAGCCAAAGGTGTAAGGGAACAATGATGGCCAGGTGCGGAGGGTCAAAGTGCCTGTAATCTCAGCACTTTGGGAG